TTATGTATTATACATCGAGATGTCATATCCCCCTTATGTATTATACATGGAGATCATACCCCCCCCCCTTATATTTATTATACATGGAGATCATATCCCCCCTTATGTATTATACATGGAGATTCATACCCTCCCCCTTATGTATTATACATGGAGATCATATCCCCCTTATGTATTATACATGGAGATCATATCCCCCCTTATGTATTATACATGGAGATCATATATCCAACCCTTAATGTATTATACATGGAGATCATATCCCCCCTTATGTATTATACATGGAGATCATATCCCCCCCCTTATGTATTATACATGGAGATCATGGAAATCCCCCCCCTTTTAATTTTATGTATTATACATGGAGATCATATCCCCCCTTATGTATTATACATGGAGATCATTCCCCCCCTTATGTATTATACATGGAGATCATATCCCCCTTAATCTCCTCTTTTCCTCTAATCTTTCCCCATAGTTGATCTCCTCCATGCCTCTTATCAGTTTGATTTCCCTTCTCTGTACTTTCTCCAGTTCCCCAATGTTCTTTTTGTGAATTGGTGCCCAAAACTGAACTGCATATTGACTTCTGATTTTTACCGGGGGGGGGGGGGGGGGATGATATCTCTCTCTGGAGTCTATACCTCTCCTGATACAAGAGAGGATTTTGCTCGCTTTAGAACCCGCAGCTTGGCATTGCTGCCATTATTAAGTTTGTGATCTACCAGAACCCCCAGTTCCTTCTCCACCATTGACCCCCCCCCCAGATCCTTCTCCACCATTGACCCCCCCCCCCAAGATCCTTCACCATTGACCCCCCCCAGATCCTTCTCCACCACTGTCCCCCCCCAGATCCTTCTCCATCATTCATTCCCCCAGTTGTACCCCCCCTAGTATGTATGATGCATATTCCTACCCCCCAAGTGCAGAACCTTACATTTATCAACATTAAACCTCATTTGCCACATAGTTGCCCAATTACACAGAGCATTGAGGTTGTATGTGTGTGTATGTATGCATATATATATATACAGTGAGGAACAGAAGTATTTGAACCCCTGTGATTTTGCAAGTTCTCCCACTTAGAAATCATGGAGGGGTCTGACACTCACAATTGTAGGGGCATTCCCACTCCGAGGACAGAATTTAAAATAAAAATTCAGGAAATCACACTGTATGATTTGTAAAGAATGTATTTGTCTTGCACTGCTGAACAGGGGCAGACTGACAACTCATAGGGCCCCCGGGCAATAGGGGATCATGGGGCCCCTGTGTCCTTGCCCAAACTCAAAAAAGCCTATGAAAAAGGTACCAGGGGCATCTCATGGGGCCCCCTACTGACCCCGGGCCCTTGGGCAGTGCCCAAGTTTCCAAATGGTCAGTCCGCCCCTGCTGCTGAACATAAGTATTTGAACACCTGAGAAAATCTGTGTTAATATTTGGTACGGAAGCCTCTGTGGCAATTAGTCAGTGCCAGAATGCCCGCCGTACTATCACAGTCCCGCTATAAGTTGCTGATCGCCACCATTACTAGTATAAAAAAAAAAATTCCAGTATCTGTTCCGCCATTTTGCAGACGCTATTAATTTCATACAAACCAATTAATGTACACTTATTGGGATATTTTTTTTTTTAGCAAAGACAGGTAGCAGAATACATTTTGGACTAAATTTATGAAGAAAGTTTATTTTTAAAATTTTTTTTTTTTATTGGATATATTTTTCAGTCTTCAAAATTTTCAGTCTTTTTTCCTTTCTATAGCAAAATATAAAAAAAAACAGTAGTAATCAAATACCAGCAAAATAAAGCTCTATTTGTGTGAAAAAAATGATACAAATTGAATGTGTGCACAGTGTTGCATGATCGCGCAATTTTCAGTTAAAGTAGCGCAGCTCCATATAGCAGAACAAATGGCCTGGTCATGAAGGGGAGTAAATTTTCTGTAGGGCAAGTGGCTAGACATCCTGATGATGTAGATCTTCCCCCTATGTTCCTGTGATTGTTTATCTTGGTCGATTCCATAAGGTGTGCAGTAGGACTACCTGACTTGTCTTTCTGATGAAAACATCGAGAAAACAACCTTCTGTAAATTAGTAATGAGAGCGCCACACACAAGAGTCCACGGTGGTGTTTATTACACATTCAGTGGATTAAAACGATCCAATGCTATCACTGACCTGGTTAGGGGCTGAAATGACGAGGGCTTCCTATTCAGCTCTGGTCCACGTACCCCGGGGAGTAACAGGAAGTGCGAGGCACAAAGTGGCATGAGTGCTAAAAGTCCAGTTTGTTAGTAGCTGCTCCTGGGGGTGGTCAGCAGGGTAGCCCTTTGGCTAGGGATGAGAGTCACTGTTGGGAACTGGGCCTAGCAGCTGGTGGAAATCTGACACCTCTGGTAGGCCAAAATGATGCGGAATAAGACCAGCAATGAGGAACTGGAGCGTAGTGGTGTTGTGGTCAAGGTCCCAGCTGAGGTCATACACAGGTGATCAGTAAGATGTAGATGAGGGAGTCATGGTCAGAAGCCAAGCCATGGTCATACACGGGTCATCAGTAGAATGTAGATGAGGAAGTCATGGTCAGAAGCCAAGTGAGGTCATACAATGGGTGGTCAGTAGGATGTAGACGAGGGAGTCGTGATCAGAAGCCAAGCCGAGGTAATACATGAGTGATCGGTAGGATGTAGACATGGTCAGGAGAGAGAGACATAGTCAGGAGTTAAGCCCGAGGTCATACACAGGTGATCAGTAGGCATGTAGCCAAGAGTCATACAGATCATAGGCTGTAGCTGAGAGAGTCATGGTCAAGAGCCGAGGTCATACACAGGTGATCAGTAGGCTGTAGCTGAGAGAGTCATGGTCAGGAGTTAAGCCGAGGTCATACACAGGTGATCAGTAGGCTGTAGGAGTAGTCATGGTCAGGAGCCAAGCAGAGTCATGGTCAAGAGCCAAGTTAGGAGGATACAAGGGGTAGGGTGGAAGCCAGTCATAGGATGTAGCTGAGAGAGTCAGAAGCCAGAGTGTCATGGTCAGGAGCCAAGCCGAGGTCATACACAGGTGATCACTAGGCTGTAGCTGAGAGAGTCATGGTCAAGAGCCAAACTGAGGTCATACACAGGTGATCAGTAGGATGTAGATGCGAAAATCATTGGTAGAAGCCAAGTGAGGTCATACACAGGTGATCAGTAGGCTGTAGCTGAGAGAGTCATGGTCAAAAGCCAAGCCAAGGTTATACACGGGTGATCAGCAGAATGTAGATGAGGAAGTCATGGTCAGAAGCCATTTGAGGTGATACAATGGGTGGTCAGTAAGATGTAGATGAGGGAGTCATGTTCAGGAGCCAAGCCGTGGTCATACATGGGTGGCCAGTAGGCTGTAGATGAGGAAGTCACGGTCAGAAGCCAAGTGAAGTCATACAATGGGTGGTCAGTAGGATGCTGATGAGGGCGTCATGGTCAGAATCCAAGCCAAGGTCATACAATGGGTGGTCAGTCGGATGTAGATGAGGAAGTCATGGTCAGAAACCAAGCTAAAGTTATACACAGGTGATCAGTAGGATGTAGTTGGTGAAGTCATGGTCAGAAGCCAAGTGAAGTCATACATGGGTGGTCAGTAGGATGTGGGTGAGAGTCATAGTCGGAAGCTAATCCAAGGTCATACATGGATGGTCAGTAGGAATGCAGATGAGAGAGTCGTGGTTGGGAGTCAAGCCAAGGTCATACATGGGTGGCCAATAGGATATAGGTGAGAGAGTCGTGGTCGGGAGCTTTTCCAAGGGCATACAAAGGTGAACAGTGGGATGTAGAGCCAAGCCAAGGTCATACATGTGTGGTCAGTAGGATGTAAATGAGAGTCATGGTCAGGAGCCAAGCCAAGGTCATGCATGGATGGTCAATAGGATGTAGGTGAGAGAGTCATGGTCAGGAGCCAAGCCATGGTCATACATGGGTGATCAGTAGGATTTTGGTGAGAGTCATGGTCAGGAGCTAAGCCAAGGTCACACACAAGGGTGGTCAGTACTGACGGAGTTCTGCTCACGAAATGACACATGCAACGCAATTTAGTGCAATAGTACTCCTGAGGCTGAAACTGAAAGATTGGTGACATCTATTTGTGGACAATTACTGCAGGGTGGGCGCTGTGGACTGAAGAGGAGAATTGCAGCAAAAGCTGTTTTTTCTATTTTATCTTTTAATGGACTCATTTATTTATTTTTTTTGGGGGGTTGGGGTTTTGTTTTACATTCTTTGGGCCCCATTTGTGCTATCGTAAAAGTTCACTGTACACATGATTTTTTAAGAAAAAAGAAAATTCCATCTGAGGTCGGTGTTTTTATCTCGAAGCCGGAAGTTTATACCTTTGATGTAGTTTAATATCCACTAACCCCATATCTGTCTCCTCTTATTTCCAGGTCTCCTGTAGAGAAGAAGGCCTCACCTCTCCCTCCTCTGACTGTGAAGAGTCGGTACGTCCTCCGCAGGAAGAGCTCTCCCCGGGTAAAGTCCCCGGTAACTGTGAAAAGAAGCTCTCCGCGGGCGCTGGTCCATCTCTCCAAACACCGACTGAGAAGACTTCCTCCCACCAAGACACCGTCCCCCACCGTCCGAGAAGGTAGGTTCATAATATGTAGGCATATACTGTATATATATAAAGTATGTTGTGCTGCTGATGACCACCATGGTGTTAGAATACCGGCCAGCCGCTCGGCTCTTCTGTGCAGCAAATCCTGTTCCTCGGTCCAGCCGTGTCCTCACCGTCTTCTCTCCCTGGCGCCTGCATCTTTAGTGTGAATGGTCCAGCAGTCTTCTGGGAACTGTCACGTGTCCCAGGAGAGGGAGGACAACTCTGCGGGAGCGGGAGCGGGTACCTGTCATATTCGAGTACCCACTCCCCCCCCCCCCCCTTCCGCTCCCGAAAGGTCTGCAGTCTCTGGTCATCTCCTGTACTATGTCCACAGTCTCTGGTCATCTCCTGTACTGTGTCCGCAGTCTCTGGTCATCTCCTGTACTGTGTCCGCAGTCTCTGGTCATCTCCTGTACTGTGTCCGCAGTCTCTGGTCATCTCCTGTACTGTGTCCGCAGTCTCTGATCATCTCCTGTACTGTGTCCGCAGTCTCTGATCATCTCCTGTACTGTGTCCGCAGTCTCCGGTCATCTCCTGTACTGTGTCCGCAGTCTCTGGTCATCTCCTGTACTGTGTCCGCAGTCTCTGGTCATCTCCTGTACTGTGTCGCAGTCTCTGGTCATCTCCTGTATTATGTCTGCAGTCTCTGGTCATCTCCTGTACTGTGTCCGCAGTCTCTGGTCATCTCCTGTACTGTGTCCACAGTCTCTGGTCATCTCCTGTATTATGTCTGCAGTCTCTGGTCATCTCCTGTACTATGTCTGCAGTCTCTGGTCATCTCCTGTACTGTGTCTGCATCTCTGGTCATCTCCTGTACTGTGTCCGCAGTCTCTGGTCATCTCCTGTACTGTGTCCGCAGTCTCTGGTCATCTCCTGTACTGTGTCCGCAGTCTCTGGTCATCTCCTGTACTGTGTCCACAGTCTCTGGTCATCTCCTGTATTATGTCTGCAGTCTCCGGTCATCTCCTGTACTGTGTCCGCAGTCTCTGGTCATCTCCTGTACTGTGTCTGCAATCTCTGGTCATCTCCTGTACTGTGTCCGCAGTCTCTGGTCATCTCCTGTACTGTGTCCACAGTCTCTGTCATCTCCTGTATTATGTCTGCAGTCTCCGGTCATCTCCTGTACTATGTCCGCAGTCTCCGGTCATCTCCTGTACTGTGTCTGCAGTCTCTGGTCATCCCCTGTACTATGTCCGCAGTCTCCGGTCATCTCCTGTACTGTGTCCGCAGTCTCTGGTCATCTCCTGTACTGTGTCCGCAGTCTCTGGTCATCTCCTGTATTATGTCTGCAGTCTCTGGTCATCTCCTGTACTGTGTCCGCAGTCTCTGGTCATCTCCTGTACTATGTCCGCAGTCTCTGGTCATCTCCTGTACTGTGTCCGCAGTCTCTGGTCATCTCCTGTATTATGTCTGCAGTCTCTGGTCATCTCCTGTACTGTGTCCGCAGTCTCTGGTCATCTCCTGTACTGTGTCCGCAGTCTCTGGTCATCTCCTGTACTGTGTCCGCAGTCTCTGGTCATCTCCTGTACTGTGTCCGCAGTCTCTGGTCATCTCCTGTACTGTGTCCGCAGTCTCTGGTCATCTCCTGTACTGTGTCCGCAGTCTCTGGTCATCTCCTGTACTGTGTCCGCAGTCTCTGGTCATCTCCTGTACTATGTCCGCAGTCTCTGGTCATCTCCTGTACTGTGTCCGCAGTCTCTGGTCATCTCCTGTATTATGTCTGCAGTCTCTGGTCATCTCCTGTACTGTGTCCGCAGTCTCTGGTCATCTCCTGTACTGTGTCCGCAGTCTCTGGTCATCTCCTGTACTGTGTCCGCAGTCTCTGGTCATCTCCTGTACTATGTCCGCAGTCTCTGGTCATCTCCTGTACTGTGTCCGCAGTCTCTGGTCATCTCCTGTATTATGTCTGCAGTCTCTGGTCATCTCCTGTACTGTGTCCGCAGTCTCTGGTCATCTCCTGTACTGTGTCCGCAGTCTCTGGTCATCTCCTGTACTGTGTCCGCAGTCTCTGGTCATCTCCTGTACTGTGTCCGCAGTCCTCTAAAACCTAGGTGCGTCTTATGGAGTGACAAATACGGCACTTGTACTCCAGGCGCTGCAATAAGTATTTCCTTTGTTTACATTTGAGGTCAGTCAGTTCCTTCATGGCCCACGTTGTCACGTCTAGTGCGTGTTGGTGATCAATGATTGTGTATATTGGTGTCACATCCGCCGTGGATAATATCATCTGATCGGTTTCAGCTTCAATATTCCCCTAAATCTGCAGCGGATGCTTTGTATTGTGCAAATACGACTTCACCTTCTGTGCAATGGGCAGCAGATACCAATCTCAATGCTCAATTGTTGGTGTCAATGGAAGAAATAGTGCCCCATTTTTGGTGTCAGGGTTTGGGGGGGGGGGGGGGGGGGGTTGGTGAAATGGTGCTCCATCATTGGTGTCAAGGTTGGGGGGGGGGGTGATATTGCTCAATTGTTGGTGTCATGGAAGAAATAGTGCCCCATTTTTGGTGTCAGGGTTTGGGGGGGGGGGTTGGTGAAATGGTGCTCCATCATTGGTGTCAAGGTTGGTGGGGGGGGGTGATATTGCTCAATTGTTGGTGTCAATGGAAGAAATAGTGCCCCATTCTTGGTGTCAGGGTTTGGGGGGGGGGGGGGGGTCATGGGGGGGGGGGGGGGGGGGGGGTTGGTGAAATGGTGCTCCATCATTGGTGTCAAGGTTGGGGGGGGGGGGTGATATTGCTCAATTGTTGGGTGTCAGTGGAAGAAATAGTGCCCCATTCTTGGTGTCAAGGTGGGGGGGGGGGGTGATATTGTCAGGGTTTGGGGGGGGGGTGATTTTTCTTGGTGTCAGGGTTTTGGGGGGGGTGAAATGGTGCTCCATTGTTGGGGTGTGAAGGTGGGGGGGAGGGGGTGAATGCTCAATTGTTGCTGTCGGTGGAAGAAATGGTGGCTAATTTTTGGTTTGGGGGTGGTGAAATGGTGCTCCATTGTTGGTTGGGTGTCGGGGTTTGGGGGGGATTGCTCATTGTTGGAAGAAATAGTTCTCCAATTTTTGGTGTGTGTTTGGGGGGTAAAATGGTGATTGTTGGTGTTCAAGGCTTGACGGGGGGAAGGGATTCAAAATTGTTGGTGTCGGTGGAAGAAATCGTGCCCCATTTTTGGTGTCAGGGTTTGGGGGGGGGGGTGAAATGGTGCTCCATTGTTGGTGTCAGTAGAAGGAATTAGGGTTGCACTGGAAATTTTGTCGGCCTAAACGTTTCGGCTGAAAAATACCCCTATAGGTCTTTGGAGATACAGGTGCCGAAAATAGCCCCGCCCCCGCCACCCAGTAGTTCTCAACCTCACCTGAGAACCATCCAACGATCCTGGCGCTGGGCATAGAGATCAGTGAAGGAAAGATGGCCGCCACTCATCTCTATGCCCTTGGAGGAACCGGAGCCATGTCACTTTTGGTTCTGTTTTTTTTTAAATGGGATAATAAAAATAAAATGTTTAAAGTGCCCCTGTGCTCGCTCGCAGTGGTGAACGCATATGTAGGCCACGCCCACATATGTAAAAGGTGGGTTCAAACTTACAAGTGTGAGGTATTGCAGGCGAAGCGTCAGAGCGTGAGCAATATTCTAGCACTAGACCTCCTCTGGAACTCTAAACTGGTAACCTGTAGATAATTTTTTAAAGCGACGCCCATGGAGATTTTTTTTAAGTACCGTAGTTTGGCGCCATTCCACGTGTGCATATTTAAAGCATGACATGTTGGGTATCTATTTGCTCGCTGTAACATCATCTTTCATATTTTACAAAAAAAGGGGTATTTTGTTACGTTTTTTTTTTTTTTTCTTATTCATTAAAGTGGATTTTTTCCCAAAAAAATTGCTTTTGAAAAATCTACATTTTTAAAAACTGTCCATTTTGGTTTCTGGTTCTCAGCGAAGTGCATTCTGAATTTTCGGTTTTTGGCACCAGAATTTTCATTTCAGTGCGCCAACTAGAAGGAATAGTGCCCCATTGTTGGTGTCAGTGAAAGGAAAGGCCATATTGTTGGTGCCTGTGGAAGTGAATTGTTCCTCATTGTTGGTGTCAGTGATAAGGAATGGTGCCACTATTGTTTGTGTCAGGGTGGTGGGGTGGATCTAGTGCACATTGTTGGTTCAGTGGAAGGAAGTAGTCCTCCATTGTTGGTGTCAGTGGAAGGAAATTGTGCCCCATTTGTTGTGTCTCAGGGTGGTGATGGGGTGGGATATAGTGCTCCAATTGTTGGTGTCATGTAAGGAGGAAGTAGTGGCTCCAATTGTTGGTGTCAGTGGAAGAGAATAGTGCCCCATTGTCGGTGTCAGTTGAAGGAGTGTGCCACATGATCGGTGTCGTGGAGAATATGTGCCCCATTATCCGTGGACATTGGATGGAATTGCCTCATTATCGTGGCAGTGGAAGGAATGGTGCCCAATTGTTGGTGTCAGTGGATGGATATAGTGCCCCATTTGTCGGTGTCTGTTGAAGGAATAGTTCCCATCTGTTGGTATCAGTGGGAGGGATTGTGCCCCATTAGTGGTGTCAGTGGATAGTGAATAATTATGCCCCGGTGTCAGTGGAGTGGAAGTTTAGTAGTTTCCCATTGTCGGTGTCAGTGGTGGGAAGGAATAGTTTCCCATTGTTGGTGTCAGTGGAGGGATTGGTGCCCCATTATTGGTGTCAGTGGGAAGGAATAGTGCCCCATTGTCGGTGTCAGTGGAAGTTATAGTTTCCCATTGTCGGTGTCAGTGGAGGGAATAGTTTTCCCATTGTTGGTGTCAGTGGAGGGATTGGTGCTCTCATTGTTGGTGTCAATGTGGAATGAATAGTGCCCCATTTTTGGGTCTCAGGGTGGTGGTGAATGTGTGGGGGAGATAGGTTCTCCATTGTTGGTGTCATTATAAGGAGGAAGTAATGGTGCTCCATTGTCGGTGTCAGTGGATGTATTGGTGCATCATTGTTGGTGTCAGTAGGGAGGAACAGTGCCCCAAGTGCCCGAAAAGGCCAGCAAGGGGCTCGCAGGTGGAGACCACTGGACTAGTCAAAGCTCTTTCTACAACCTTCATTTGTAGTGACCTCTTGTGGGTAATTGTGTAGAAAATGTCAATCGCCCCAACAGTTGCACATGCACAAAGTTGCACCCTCTTGTTTCGGTGCGGGGCGGTAAATCACGAACATGTAACCTTTTATATCTTTGATTATCTGGATCTCATCGCTCGTCCCGGCTTGTAGTGAAGATACTCTGAATCCGGAGGTAAATCACGTGATCCTCTCAGGTTGCCGTTTTACAGGAAGAGCGTCCCATCAGAGGGCAGCCTTGTGCCAGGCTCTCGCACCACCTTGTCCAAAAAACCTTATTCTCGCCATGTTAATGAATTGCCCAATGTTCCTCTTTATGTGGAAGGAAAGCAGATATCAAGTAATTTGCAGCAATAAGCCGCTAATGCAGGGTCCCCGTATCAAGCGGGGTGGGGAAAAAAAAAATAGCCCGAAAAAACACACCTGCCTGTGTTCATTCCTAAGGGCAGATAAAACACTAATATATAATTATCCTTGCAAAATTGGATTGTTTTAAATAACCAAAACGCGGGGCAGCCGGGGAAGGATCCGCCGGCCATTTTTGCCTGAGTTACTAATCGCCGCGTAATTGCCGCCTTCAATCAATTCCCTCGCCATTATGAAATTCCCATCACAATCAACATTAAACTTTATACGTCGCCCGAGGCCTATCAGCCTTCCCATTCTTGCTCCTTCTTCTTTTTAAAAGCTCCACTTTAACTGGCAAAATTAATCAGGGAGAAGATTTTTGAAACATTTACCCGTGATGGTGAGGAGAGGTCAGGCTTCTCGCCGGCCGAGCCCGGCAGAATAATCGACGCGGGCTAATAAAAAGAGGA